GCTGCGCGCGCAGCGGCGGGCGCGCTGCTGGGGCCTGGGAGGCGGCGCGGCCCGCGCTCCGCGTCGTCTGCCCTGGTGGATGTTCCTGTTTTGTTGTGTCAGCTGCAGCCTGCACGTCTGCCTGAAGTGGTGCTTTCTTTGTCAAGCTAGGGCCTGTTCTTTCTCACTCGAGAAAAGGAAAAGCAAGGAAAGAAATAAAGCAAGCTCAAGTTAATGGTTGAGAAATTCTGATTCACGAGAGCCTGGTAGGATTTGTATTTATACCTGTGACAGTTTGGATGAATTGTGAATTTTGTAACAGTCATTTGAAATAACTTGCTTCCATTAGCTCTGCTTTACACAAACTGCTATGAATGTCCTCCATAGCTGTCGAAATCACCTGATGTATGTGTGTGTGTTACTGTGCTTGCGTGTGTTTGTGTATGGAATTTGCTGGGAGAAAAGTAGGCAATGTATCTTAATTAAACCATTATTTTATTAATTTAGTAGGCAATCCGTGCTTATTAATTTGTGTTAAAACAGATAAAAGCACTTGAGGTTTAATAGATTAAGTAAACAAGGTCAGGCTTAAAACACTCTCAGGGATGTGTGATGAAATTGAGGAAGAAGAATAGTATTTATTATTCATTATGCCATTCAAATGAAGAGTAAACCTGTTGATTTTGACTGGTTTTGGTCATTGCTTTCCCATGACTTTCTCCTGTGAATATTGAATAAACAAAGACAGTAGTATGATTGCATCCCAGTTGTGTTAATTACTAGTTATACTTAAAGCTTTATCTACAAGTCAGATAATAATTATTATGTCGTTAACGATTTGTGATAGTGGGTGTGTTGTTCATTAGTAAATTAATCCCATTTTCACAACAGAAATTCACTAAAAACAAACTGAAGCACCGAAAGTTCTGCAGGAACTTGAGGAAAAATTTCTTAGCAGTGAGGGTGACAGAGCCCTGAAACAGACTTCTAAGGGAGGTTGTGGAGTCTCCTTCTTTGGAGCTCTTCAAAACCCACTTTGACACAATCCTGTGCCACATGCTCTAGGTGCAGAAGGATTGGACTAGATGATCTCCAAAGGTCTCTTCCAACCTTAAAAATTCTATGAAAAACTATAATCTGTGTTTCTGTTCAGTGCAAATGTTTGGGTTACACTTTCTACTCTAACTTAAATATTTGCATTTTCACTTTGCGCTGTAACTTTCTCTGTATTTTTTCATCCCTAAAAAGGTATTTAGGGGCTGAAAATGTTCCCTTGTGCCAACCTGAAGTGACAGGGAGGACTGAGGAGAGACTTATTTGCAGCTGGCTTAAGCTTGTGTGTGTATGTAAGTGTGCAAGCAAAATACATATATACATATTTTGCACATAAATAAACTTTACCTATTTTTTGTTGTTGTTTGTTTTTGTTTTTTTTTCAAGGTTACAGCTCATCCCCTTATTGTTCCCCAAAGAAAAGTAAGGTACTTCAAAGTAAAAGTCAGCAGATAGAAGATAAAATTTGTTATTTTAAAATAATAAGGGCTTGTTTAACAATGGTACTTAGATCCCTGAGCAATGCTGCTCGGAGGTATTTAGGGTAAGGTACTTAATACACATAATTTGTATACTTGGAAGACATAAGAAGCCTTGCATTTTGGGTTTTTTGTTTTGGGGGTTTTTGGTTTTGTTCTTGATTTTACGGTACAACTGCCTTCAGGTACCCATACATCTCTAAACTGATTGTGTTTGCTGTCTGAGCCAATTTTAACAGGTATTAATGCATATTAAAATATCTTCATGGACAAAAGTTGTGGAAGGCTCCTTCACCCTCAAATTAATTTGCCCAGGAAATACAGACTTATAGGAGTTTTTTCATATACTCTGTGAAGGAGCCAGCAGACTTCCAGAAGGTGATTCCCATGCTTGGAGAAACAGAAGTGAATATAAATACATGGTGTTTTGATGCAGCTTCTCAGTGTTCTCTGATATCTGGGTGTGCTTTTTTCTCAAGTAATTGAAAATGTACTTTATGGAAGGAAGTAGGCTAAGTAGGTAATATTTTGAGAAGAAACTTATTTAAGTGCATTAAACTGTTTCAGTAGTTCAAGGTTTTGTGCATCCTAATTGTAATCCTGAATTCTTAATGGAATGGATGCAAGTGAGGTGTTTTTGTGTTGAAAAAATAATTAAGAATGTGTATAGGGAAAGGGAAATGGCATTCTCAGAGTGGGACCTACATTTCTGTTTTTAAATGTAATAAGACAGAAGCCTTAGAGCTTATGACTGGGGAGCTCAAATGCTACCACAGTAAAAATAATAGTGATAAATGGTATTGTGGTATAAGAGCAATACTTAGAGGTTTGCTATGATATATGAGCTTTCATCTTAATATACAAGGTATTAATATATGAAGTCCTGTTTGTCAATGCTTTATATATTGATTTATGTAGCTATCTGTTGATGGTTATGCTATCAACATACACATCACATCTGTTGTTGCTGTGTTATTAACATATGCATCATATACTAGCTCTGCTAGTCTGTATAGCCAAATACTTACATCCATGGAATCTAGAAAGTTATATATTACTGAATTTAATGTCTTTGAACCTAGAAAAGTCTACAAAGTTGTTGAAAATCCTTCATTTTGCTAATACGCTAAGAGTTTTTTTTATTCATGAATATGTCATAATTTTTAGTCTAAGGTTTTTTTTATCTTCAGAATGAGACATTTTGAAGCTAGAAACTAAATTCATATATCCCAGTGGAAGATAATGTTAACCCGTTCTAATCCTATTTCCCAGGATTGTATTGTATTAGACCTTAGAATTTTTGCTGGTGACAATAATACCTTTCCTTCTTCATCTCTGCAAAACTTGAGCTCAAGACAGGCTGAATAATCAATATTTGGTCCAAATATTTTAAACAGCTGTCTAAAGCAGCTGAATGGCCTAAATGGCTTGAAATGGTGCAGTAAGTCCAAATTAATACAGGCAGATAGTGCATTTCATTGCACATCTTTCATACTTTCATTAGATTTCATACGTTCATTAAATTTCTTGAAATTTAATTATCTTTGAGATAACTACTTTGCTGTCAAATTTCAACTTTTTGGGTGCAATAATTTATTGTGGCTGGGGAAACACAAACAAATGGAGAGTATGGTCACTGAGCCGTATTTGCTCAGTAATCCCTTTCATTTCTGTTATTGTAGTAAATAATTTTTCTTCCATTGCTGTTTTTCTGGCAGACCTAAGCTCTTAACTGTATGCTATATTCCTTTAATCTAAGACCATTATTAATTTACTTTCACTTTGTTTCAGTTTCACTATCTTGTTTTACTGCCTTGTCTAGTCCTTGACATGCTTCCTAGACTTTATGCTTCATATATAAATTATAGGTTTTTTTTTTTTAAAGGATTATTTGGGACATTCCTGTTTTTATGTGAAATGTGTTTTTTTATTATTTTTTATTTTTTATAGCACATTCATTAGTTTTCATTGTGATCATAAGTAATTGCCTACACTGGAAGAGGCTAAGAATAACTGTATCAAGATATGGAGTAGAGGAATTACAAAAGATAGTACAAAGTAAACTAAGAGTAGTGCACTGAAGTTGGGAAAAAATATTTGGTCCAAAAAGATGACGGAGTAGCTTTCACCATCAGATTTGTTTCTTCAGGTAATGTTATGAGGGAATCAGTGAGCAAAAAATTAGAAAATTCCTTTTAGAAAGAAATCCTAGACTGTAAGGAAAATCTTACAGGAACATCTGTAAGGAACGTCTTAGTATGTTGGTAAAACCAAGTATCTTGATATAAAAATACAGATGTTCCATTTCTGACCCCTTTGTTGAAATGAGATGAAATACGAGCTAAGATGCCTTTTTTCTTCATTTTTTTTCCCTAGTTAACTACCCAGGTCTTTCTGCACAAAACTTAAAAGTAGTTGTGGCCACACAGCTCTAGTGGGAGTGAATAAGATAAATGAGAAAGATAAATGGAAAAGGCTACTTTTTCTTCTTTTCAGCACAGTCGTATTTTAATTATTCAGGGGAACGTTGTATGGGAGGGGAGTTGTTTGTTTTACTATGAGTAAGACTTTCCAGATATTCTATTCTGTATGTAAGCCCTAGGCTTGAGAAGAGAGGCAGTAGTTAACATGGTGTTTTAGATTGTTAGTTGGTTATTGCAAGTGGTCAGCATTGAAGCACAAGAAAGAGTGGGAGAAGATGACAGATGTGCAGAGTGGGAGCAGTAAAAAACTAGAGACCTGTACCTTCACAAAGAAGTTAGTTCCTGTAGCTAATCCACATTTTCTGGCAAACCTTTCCTCTTCTCTGCATCATAATTCTGGTCAGGTTCTTGCTCATTCCTGGATGTCAGTCAAGGAGGGCTAAACACAGGGAAGAAACAAATAAACAGAAGTCGATAAAAAGGAGATGTTATTGTCATTTATTCTATAGCTTTCGGATATTACAGAAAAGAGATATAGCTGCTCTCAGTTGAGCAAGGACAGAATGAAAGATACAGGGAAAGTCTGAAAGGGGGTGTTTTTGTAGCAGAGAAGTCACATACTTACTAGATTTCAGCCTGAAGCTATTTGTTCTATAATTCATTGTTTTGAAAATTCATATAGTGTAATGAATAGGGGAAAAGTTGATTTTTGTTTTTCTTTAAATTGAGGGCTAAATAATTAGTGTCAAGGCACATGACAGAAACTTGTAACATAGGCAGGAGGCTTATACTCACTACTTATGTAACAATATAGCAATAGCAATATAAAGCAGCATATAATTATAATACAGATAACCTAACTTTCTTTTTTTTTATTCTGAAACTACACACTAACTATTCTAGGAATGGAATCAGAGGTCTAGATGTGTACTGATGCTATATCTAGGAATTGTTTGCTGAAACAAACTTTCTTGATGTTGTAACCCATTCATATCTGCTTTTTGTTTTCAACATTGTTTTCATAGGAATTTTGACTTCTTGGAGACACAGTAGAAAATGCAAAACGAAATAATAAAGCCTGCTAAATACTTCTCAGAAGTGGAGAAGAGTGTGCTGCTTGCATTAGTTGAAAAGTACAAGTATGTACTTGAGTGTAAAAAGAGTGATGCAAGAACTATTGCTCTCAAACAGCGTACTTGGCAAGCTCTAGCTCATGAATATAATTCACAGCCCAGTGTGTCACTACGAGACTTCAAACAACTGAAGAAATGTTGGGAAAATATCAAGGCACGGACAAAAAAGATAATGGCACATGAAAGACGGGAGAAGGTAAAAAGAAGTATTAGTCCGCTTATAAATACTCACATCATAGGGAAAGAGAAGATTGCCAGCATAATACCTGAGCAAATGTACTTTTTGCAGAGCCTACCAGAAGATTCTGAGTATCAGCCTGATGCTTCTAGTCAAGGTATAAATGTTACTGTAATGATGCAATTGGTATTGTTTTGTATGTGATTTTGATAGTGATTCTCTCAGCAATATAAATCTTTCCACTTGACTGTGACTGCTGACTACAGAAAAGTAGCCAGTATTTTCAGAACTATGATATTACAAGACAATATTGATTTCCCTAAGCCCTCACTTTCAACAACAGAGTTAACTACCACTATATGACAAGTGTCACAATAGTCATCATGCTAGCTTTCCCATGAACAGGAGAGCTTCAAGTTTATATTGATCCTTGACAAAATATTGCTTTGTTGGGAAAAGATCTGAGTATTTAAAAAAAAAAAAAAATCGATGCATCAGCAGCAAATTGTTACATGGTTGTCTGATGCAAGAGTTTCCAGCTTGCAAGAGTTTCCTGTAAGAGTTTTCTGCAAGTTTCCTTGTTTTCGGACGGGACTGAAATGAATGTGTAGAGTTATATTTCACATTCTAGTCCTTACTGGTGAAAGAACTTTCAAAAAGGTTAAGCAGTGCCTTCTTTGTTTGCCAAGCATATGCAGACAGAATAATCAAAGACCATATGGGATGGTGGCTGGTTGCAAACTTTATGCCAGAACCTGCTCAAAACAAGAATAAGCTGTTTTTTTTTTCTTTTTCCTGAAGATGAACAACTTATTAATCCTGCACCTACCATAAATATAAGGAAAGAATAAATAGTATTCATCTTAGTATTCTCTGCCTCTTCTGCTATTATGTAGACATAATTCTTCACCTGAGACATAGATCTTAAAAAAAAAAAAAAAAAAAAAAAAAAAAAATTTGCTGATTACATAGACATTTGTCTTAAACAGCTTCATTAAAGTTCAGCTATAGGCTCAGGCCCCTAAATTTAGGTGTCCATATGCTCATAAATGCCTATGTCTACTTTAAGATTCTGACATTCCATTCTATCAACAGAATCGAAAGTAGTTCGACTCACCCTGAACTAGGCCACTATGTCCATAACATTCTGTAATATCACAGCATTATGTAGTCCCTTGTATTATGGCGCAAAAGAGCAAAGTTTAGATGTATATGCCAATAACTACATTTATAATTGAAAGTTTTTATTACTTGAGGGTAAGAGGATGAAGAAGGAATAATATTTTTTTTTTCTGTTGTGTTTTACAGAGTCATTTGTTATCTCAAATGGAGAACTCTGTGACGAAGAGAAAGAGTTGGTACATTTCCCAGTATGTGAAGGTACCTCCCAACCTGAGCCATCGTGTTCTGATATCAGAATAGCAGCAGATAAGAACTACAGAAGTAAAGCATCTCAGGAAAGCATTCTGAAAAAGATGCATGAGGAAGAACATCATCAGCAAATGTCAATTTTGCAACTGCAGTTAATCCAAATGAATGAAGTTCATGTGGCAAAAATACAGCAAATAGAAAGAGAGTGTGAGATGGCTGAAGAGGAGCACAGGATAAAAATGGAAGTGCTAAATAAAAAGAAAATGTACTGGGAGAGAAAACTGCAGACCATCACAAAAGAATGGCCTGTATCATCCTTTAATAGACCTTTTCCTAATTCACCATAGAATATAATGTGTTCAAACTTGCTCTCTGTCCCCTTATAAGTAATGTGCATTGGAAAGAGTGTTTAAAGAGAATGTATAGTGACCCTTAACATTTAGGGAAACTGTGGTATAGTCTATGAAGAGGAAAACCATATTGTTCATTTTTAAATAAATGCTGATTTGTTTAACTCTTAGGTATGCACAATATACTAAAAGATGGATACTTTTTTCCTCTCTACCCTTCCCCTTCTAGTATTTCTAAAATGAAGATACTGCCCCAGAGTAGAGCTTTTTTTTTCTTTTTTTTTTTTTTCCCAACACAAGAGAAAACAGTTCTAAACATCAGATTAAAGAGTGTGTTTTATTGCTGCATCTTCTCCCTGACATTTCCTGAATCAAGGGAAAGGCTAGAGTATCTCTTGCTGCTAACAGAGCAATACTTAACAAGCAATGACTGTATTATTTTACTGGGACAAATGAAAAAAAAAATCACAGAATGATTAAGGTTGGAAGGGACCTTTGCAGATCATCTAGTCTAACTTTCCTGCACAAGCGAGGACAGACCATGTCACACAGAATTGCCTGATTTATATACTTAATAATGTATACTTCAGAGCAGTTATGAAAATAAATAGCAGAGGGTGGAAAGACTACTATAATTATTAAGTCGATTGCTTGGACTTAATTACAAATAATTAATAGAAATAATTACAAATAGCAGTAATGTTTTCCAGACAGCTCCCTGACTCAGAGGAAGGTTATGTACTGATCGTGTAGCTGTTTGAGCCCTGATCCTTAAGAAAGTGTGAAGGTGACTTCTTCCTCAGAAGTCACTGTGTTTACTCTCTTTTCCAGGCTCCTTTCATATTTAAGAAGAATATCAAAATAGGAGAGAGGCTTTTGACTGATCAAATCTTTTAAAAGGTAGTAAGCCTTTCAGTCAATTAGCAAACTTCCTCTACATCTCCATGCAGTATTTGAGTGCTCAACAGCTAACTAGTGTATTTCAGTCACTCTCTAGTCAGAAAAAAAGACTCTTGAGATTTACCCTCTTTTGCTTCACATAAGTTTCTTAGGGTGGGAAGGGGTTAAAGGGGATCATTTCTGTCTTTGGAGAGTGTTCTGTTCTGTCCTGTGATGTGTGTCAACATGATGTATTTCCTGTCTTTGCTGTCCATGCAGGGTGATAATGATCATTTGTTTTCAAACATTCATATGAAGGTCCTTGCAGTAATTGTGATAGCAGATATGTTTAAAACACAAAAACAAATAAAGATAATCCCTGCCAAAGAAATCAGTTAATCTAAAGGAGGAAGGATTAGGGAAATAAGCAATAGAAAGCTTAGCAATCAGAAGCTCTTCTGAAGCTTTGCTATTTTTCTGAAAAATAAGCAACCACCATTTAAAGAAGTGATGAAAAAAAGCCACAGGAATGTATTTTTTCCATGAAATTGGCCATTATCTTCAATACAGTATTTTCAGATCATTTCAGATCTGAATCTGAATCATCTTTTCCAATCACATGTGCAAGCCTATACAGCGAGCACCAAAGTAGGATATGTTAGTAGGAACAGAATATACTGTTCTTCCCAGTTTTGCTCCTCTTTTTCCCTGAATACTCCTTCTCATGGAATTTATTTTGTTTTCTTGGATTGCAGACCTTTTTGGTGATTAGCCTTTGCAATCACTAATAGTCACTGCAGTACGCACTCTGGTTAACGTGATACAACATTGCTGTTTTCAACATGCTAATATAGTAAAGACAAGGGGAGCGAATAAGGGCAACTTATTTTACATGACAGAATAATTAAACAAAAAAAAAAAACGTGCAGAGCTGCTGCAAGATTGAAAATAAGCCAGGTAGAAAATCTGAAGTCAGATCTGTTTGGCAGCAAACTCACTAACTTTTCTTCTGATCTCGCCATATGAATGGAACAAATCTAAAGAATATAATTGCAGATGTGTTTTTTCTGCTGAGGGGAACCAATACTGGAAGGCAGGACAATAATCTATAACGGTAGAGGTAAAGGGAAGAAGTAAATAGAGGATAAGACGCTTAGAGATTGCACTCTATGTGTGGAGAATTAATCAGTTGTTTGAGTGGAAGTGACAATTGTTCAGGCATCATCCAGAAGTAGGGTGGTATAGAAAAAACCAATGGTATTTCTTAAAAATGGCAGGATATCCTCCAATAAAGTTACTAAGTAATTTGAAACTACAACATTGAAAGCATGCTATCTAAGTGCAGAAAGCTGATGAAGGGAAACAATTTGAGCACTATGAAGAGAGCATTGGAGAGGCAATCCAGGTTTAGATAGTCCTGTGAGAAGGTTAAAATAATCTAGGGAGAATCTCACGATATTTGAGATACATGTGCTCTTGGTTCCTGAAAGTTAGACTGTTGATCACAAAAGATTGTTTTATTTTTATATTTTAAAAAAAGAAGTATGCATATTTTAAGACTGAACTTAGTGGACAATGCCTTACATTTTGGTATGTATATTCATTCATGTAGAGAAATGCTTATATTAATTTTGAATCTGAAATGTTTAGTTTTTGTACTGAACAGGAAAACCATTTAATGCAGCCTCTGCTTAAAAGAAGTGCACAGCAAAAAAGATTAGAGAGAACCAGGATGAAGATATGAAGGAATGATCATACTTATATACAGGAAGTGTTAGGAATATAACACCTAACAAAAATTATACAAGATGCTTTTGTGGTAACGTACAAAGCTCACTGATGCTGCAGGCTTGTGTTTTCTCATCTTGTTGCTTGTAAAAATAATCATGCAGAAGGATGCAATACAAGATCAACATGAAGTAACATGTCTCCTTGCCAGCCTTTGGCTTCTGCCTTTGCTTTTATGAAGCAATGAAAAGACAAATTGGATATAATGTTAAAATATATTTGCGAAGACCAAAAAAATGGGCTGGGATAGCTTTCCAAGTGAGTTGAAAGTGAAGACAATTCATAGCTGTCATATATGTCAAATACTTATTCCCCACACACTTTTCCCTCCCTGACTGTTTTCGTTGAGAAACTGGACCTATCCATCGTACCAGTCACAGCTCCAGGTGCTTGATGGTAAGAAAAGTAATTACAGCAGGTAGGAGTTCTCTCAGAATTATCAGGCCTTCCTCTTTATTGAACTGAAATTGGACAGTTTTCTGAGACTGGCAACACAGTCCAGATATGCATGCTACGCACTGAGGAAGGGTATGAAATTTGCCCAGCACAATTAAATTTAGTTGGCTGTGTAACTTAACAAGGAAAGAATAAGAAAATAACACCTGCTCAATGTCACTGGGTTAAAGATTACTGATAAGAGAGTGATATATCTCAATGGTGGCCAAATCAGTTTAACAGTACGAATCATGTTTTATGTTTGACAAGTTTAATTCATCCTGATCCAGATTTTCCAATATATTAAGCTGCAGAACAAAAATAAAAGTGATTTTTTTAGCAAATAATAGCTAGAAATAATCTCTTGCTTTTCTAATGAAGAGCTGTCTAGACTGCAATCTAGAGAAAGAATTGTCTAAAGTAATAGAAATAAGATAGATTATTAAAAAATGCTTTCTGTTGACTGATACTGTTTTCTCTTTGTTATTCAGTTGAGCTGCAGAATAGTGTGCTACAATTTCCTACTGAGTGTTAGACCACCTAATTAATCAAGATTGTTTGTCAAGAGAGTAGAATAAGGTTTGCATTGCCTAGAATTTGAGAATGGTAGTTTTCCACTCTCACAGAGGAGTTTTCTTCCCATATATAAGGAGCTATTTGTGGACAGTCCTGAATGTGGTAATTCTGCATTATATACCAATTTAGTGTTAATTAATTTAAGACTAACAAGTTGAAATATAAGCTCACCAAGCTCTGTGCAACATTTTATCATGTACGTAACCTTTTCATTTTCTTAGAGCTATCCATGAAATGAAATCCTGGGATAGAAATGACCAGTTGAATTACCTGTATAAATTCCTGCTATTCAATTCTGCTTTGCAGTATAATGCAAGGGATATTCTGCTTTTGTTCAGTTTTGTAGTTCTGAATATTTGACCTGTATCTCTCATTGGAGTTCTATTTAAAATTGGATTGTACTGTTAGATACCTGTGTATTCCCACAGAATTGTCCTTCAGCTAAGAACAGTTTGCTGTCCTTGGCTTTTTAGCTTTTGAATGTCAAGTCTATGGACTGTAATAAATCTGGACTGACATAACATGTGATACATTCCTCTATATGCAAAATATCTTGTAAATGGTGCCACATCTCAAGACTCCATGAAGTACATATTAGGTGGATGATAGGATAGGATAGGTTTGGTATTTACACTGGAGCTGAAATTTTGCTGAGCTATAAGTTATCACTGATGACCTAAAGCATTCTAGCTTTAGAAGCACTGATGACCTAAAGTTCAGATTGTTTGAGAAAAAGATATTGTTCAATCCAATATCATTTTAACTTCTATTTTCTATTTAAAATGAGGTGTAATGGAAACTCTTTGTCAAATAAAACAACAATAGTTTCCAAAATGCATTTGTTTTAATCTTGTGCTCAGCCTGTTAACGCAAACCATCAGGAGAAAAGCAGTTCAGTATACCCATCGAACTGAAAATTCACCTGAAGTAATTAAAAGAGAAGCCACAAAATAATGCAGGGAGTGGAAACAACATTTACACTTTCACTCTTTGTCTGCACTTGAAGGAAAACCAGCATAAAAGCAAAACAAAAAATCCACTGTGTTAAACCAGCATTAAATCAGCGACTTGGTTGATTGTGTCCTGTATATGCTCTCATATCTGAGATTATGAAAAGATAGCTGCTGTGTGGTAGTACTTCATGCCTCGGTCTTTTCCATGTCATTAAAGTGAGCTTTGGGTTTGTTTGTGCAGATCCTTACGCACATCTTCTGTACTTACCTTGAGTCCAGTCTGCCACCTAGCTCCATATATCCAAACGGCAAAACCTTCACTTCATTGAGATGCCAGAGAAATCAGGTACTGACATACTTGGGCTGTTTCTTTAGCTGCTTTTTGCTACTTGCAAAAATCACATCAGCACCCCCCAGCACCTCTTTTCTTTTAAAACTTCAGTTCACGGACTTGACAAAAATCTATTTTGCATCTGCCATGAACTCACTCCACTAAGAGCTGATCTACCACCATCACATCAACAACCTGCCCCAGGTAGAAGCGTGTTAAGTTTATTCTGCTGTCAGGAAGTCCAACAGATCTGATTTGGGGCTGGTGGCAGTATTATTTAGTTAGTTAGTATTATATTGCATGCATTTTATTTTATATAATATATAAATATATATTATTTATTGTATGTTTTTGTATATATATATATATTTTTTATATATATATATATGTTATTCCTCAGTGGCAACAAGTCTGATGCTTGCCTAGAGGAATTTGTGGAGGGAAACATCTAAGCTCAATATTAAAATACAAGATTCTTCCTGCACAATTTAATCTTATATTGAGCCCTTGGTTGTGACTTGATCTGCAATTTCAGAAAAATGATGTAAAAAATCCTAAGTATTTGAGGATCATAATCCATCAAAAAAAAAGTATTTCTCTGATTTTTGTCTAATTGATTTAAGTATTGAGGCAAATCCCCAGGCTGTAACAGCATTTTGCAAGGTCTCACTTATAGTTTTTCCTCATCTCAGATTATTTAACAGACTGGAATGGCACACACCACACTCTCAATGTATCTTGCAAAGAGATTGGAAGGAAAATTGTTGAGCTTTACCTAAACTAAGGACAGAAGGTTACCGCTGGTTTAAACATGACGTTCTGTCTAAGATATTGGTGTGACTGCTTGTCCCTGATCTTAATCCCCAATTTTTCTCATCCCATGGAATCAGGGCAGATCAACATGCTGCACACATTGCTCACATTTCTGTACAACACAAAGACCAAATCAGGCATGCTTGGATAAATGCCACCCATTGGGTCCTGCCGTGCTGTAGATGAGAACTGAGCAGCAGCTTATGGTGATCAAATGCCATGACGTTGCTGTAGTGGGACATTGGTGATAGAAGTATAATCCTCTTCATGGTTTAGCTAATAATAGATATTATGGAGAACAGTTTAAGGTGGGTGTGCATGAGCATGCAGGAAAAGTTTTGGGTATTTCTTTGGTCTTGTGCCAATTGAAGATGAAGAAATTTTCTTGTAACAAAGTTCAGTTTTAACTTGCCTCTGATTTGTGACTCTAGTGTTCTTTTCGCAGGTGCGTCAATCTTGGTGTCTGTGGATTTTTGGAGAGTGACAAGCAGGGCTGCAGCTCAGCAGATGAATGATCCCTCTTCGCGGACAACTAGGACTGAGCAGCATTCTTTCACTTTTTGCCTTGAACATGGACTGTGAAATAGCATAATTAAAACTCTGCTTTATGGACAGAGAGGAAATAGTTGTAACTCCTGTACAGTTTGTTAGCTAGACGTAGTTTAAAATATTTCACTACTTTTTCACTGTTTAACTGCATTGCAATAGGAGCTCCAAACAAATTTTTCTCTCTGATTCCACACCTTGATGATCCGTGATAAACGCACCCCCACCCCTTACCCCTTGCTGGTTTTGTTGCATTTCCCCTGCAATGCCCTCACTGCTCTGAAGTGCATCCTTGGGCCTATTCTGGGACCTACAGCTGGAGTCCTGGCAGGACTCGGTAGAGGGAACCCCCACCACACTGAGGAAAATAATGGTGTCCACCACAAATAAGAGGAGCACCAATAACCAACCAAAGAGGTGCATGTAGAGCATGTCACCATGGAGCTGGCAAAGAGGGACAGGTCCCTCTTGGCCAGCCACTCTTCCACTTGCCCTTTTTTGCATAAAAACCGTGCTTGGAGCTTCTGCTTGGAGATAAGGCTGCTTGCCCACTGGGCCAGAAGTGGCCATGCACCACCAGCACATAGGCTTCACCTACTGTCCCTGCTTTCTTCTTGCCTGCGTGATTTGACACATACTGGTTGCTGAATGAGGTTTTTGCTGCATGTGGGAAAATACTATCCTTGTATTACTGTTCATCAGCTTCTCAGTGTTATTTGCATGCATGGTGCAGATGGGAGCTTTTTTAACCCCAAGATTTTTTAACTTTTGCATCATCCTCTCCCGTCCAAGGCCACAGCAGACGCCTAAGCTCCTGTCCAGGCCCTTTTCCCTGCTGACACAGCAGGTGGAAGATGGAGTATTTTTTGCCAATTAGCAGAAGGGGGCGATAGAAAGAACCAGACACCAATGGAAAGAACAGTGTTTACTACTAATATTAAATAATACTGGTATTAAATGGTACATTTAACAAAACGATAAACTTACTATGCGCTCAGTTTTAGCAACAGACAAAATAAGCAAGGTAATGCACCTAATCATTACTATACAACAAAGAGAATAGTGATTAAGAAAAAGATACATCACCAATTGCCTAAATACGTTACCATCATCAAGATTCGCAGTTGCTGGGGAGATCCTGATGCAGTTAGGGTTTCAAGAACCTCATGGGAATTGGGAGATTTTACACAGTGTGTCCACTCATAAGAAAGGCCTCAAAAGTTGGGGCAAGACCGTCCAATTTTTATAGAGCCACATCAGCAAATCATAATAAGTTGCATTTCCTTTGTGAGTAGTAACATCTTGTGTGGCATATTTTCCCTATCATTTGGGACTGGGACCTCAGTAGAGCCTAAGAGTCAGATGGGAGGGTTATCTTCATGGTCAAAAAAGCTTGACAGAAGCTCCAGTTTAATAAACCTATGCGCATGTTAGCATCAACAGTTCTATAGGTGAATTCTGTGTACTGCTAAAAAGACAGTGACATAAAAATCTGTTAAGTCAAATCTGCAAGTCAACCCTGACTTGGACCTGCTTTTCAAGCTATGGCATTTCAGGTGTGTAGCTGGGATCTCCTGCTGTGCTCTGTTCAGCAAGTTGAACTAGTTTTCCTAGAGGTAAGTCAAAGGTGCTGCCTTCTGATCCTGTGTCTCTATCAAGAGAGGAGCTTTCATTTCCCACACCACTTGGGGTGTACATTAGACATCCATGGAAGTCCTTTCTCAGGTCCTGTGTCAGTATGGTGGGACGGGTCTTCCTGCCACCAGAACATATGACTTCATGGCCTGGGAGTTTGTGCAGTACAGACCTACCACTCAGTGTCAGGAGGATGTAGCCTTTTGCTCTCTCCACTGCTTTCCACCCCTTTTCTCATAAGGCTTTTCTCTGCCAGGCAAGGGCAACTGCTGCCCCAGTCCTCCTCATGCACTCAGAGATATTCTTTGAATTGCTAAGGGTGTCTTGGAAGGAAAGGGGCCTGACTTGGCAGTGCCTGCTTCCCTCTTGGCCTGTGCTACAACTGTCAGGATCGACACAGTCTCCCATGGAGCCATACCCTCAGGCAGGACTCTAATGCTTCAAGCACAGACCCAACTGCTAGCCTGTCTTTACAGGCTGCTAGTGTGCCACAGGCCCATAAGCTTTGATTGCTTCGAGCCACCGCTATTCCAGAGTCACAGTCATAGGTTGGGAGTTTAAGAGGCTTTGTGCACATGAGCTTTTCTGTGCACACGGACACAGAGATGGGCCAATGCCTCCTTCCTGCCCCTCTGTGCAGACCTTCTCTGCTCCATTGTCTCCAAGATGCTCACGGTTTCCAAGCTGTTCATCTGTAGGCTCGCCCAGCACTTCATCAATAGGCAGGCCTCTGAAAAGCACTACTGCCTTTGAGCACGGCCCTCCTATTGCTGACCCCTGGATTGCTGCATTTAACCTCATACTGTGAAAAAAAAAGTACCTGACACTCAAGGGCTGATCCTGCATCACACAGGCCATTCTCATTCTTGGTACAGACAGCTGAACAATGGGGAGCGGGAAAGCAAGTGCTGCCCTGCGTTTGTAGTGCCTGGAGGCTGGGCTTGTTTGTTTGCCTTACTTCTCCTGAAGCACTTTACCTAGACAGCAAAGTCTTCAGGAGCACTGATGATATTGCCATCAGGGGATACTCTCGCTGTACTAGGTTCCAGGGGAAGAATGCGGAGAGAGATTGCTTTTGCCAGCTTCATGAGGACAGGATGCAGACTCCTGGAGAAGGACCAACAGTCTCCTGCGTTATTTTCAGTCAGAAAGAAAAGTACTGCACACTGTAATTGTGGCCAAGAGAAACTCAAGAGTGCATGTGGTGGTTGCCTCCCACTTTGGTTGTTCCCTGATGCTTGGTGCCCCTACCTCAAACATAACCTCAGGACTCTTCATGGAATGAAGCCATGAGGCTATACTCCTGCTCTGTTCTTCCCAACCTTCTCTTTTGTGGACAAATCCTGCTTCCTGATATGATGTCTTGTGTCTGGCAGTTTGTGCTGCCTCCATGCTCTGCAGGCCTTGGTCTTCTAATCATCATCACAGATACCAGCTTCACTCTAATGACCTCTTCCACTGGAGGCTTTCCTCACCCTCTGACCCCAAATAGAGCTCTCCCACATCTCCACATCTCGTGCACATTGAGGACAGCAAAAGCCAGCATTGCGCTCTCTCAGGACTCCTTGGAGATTCTGCCTTTTCAATGCCTGAGCAGTGACAAAGCCACCCCGCACCGTGCTTGCTCTTGGTTTCTTCATGTCCCTTGTTTCCTTCAGGGAGCTCTGTGTACTTCAGGGCCTGGCCATGAACTCACCATGCATTGTCTCGTGGACTTCATTTCATAACATGTAGGAGTTCACTCAACTCTCCTTGTAGGGTCTACATTTCCACAAGTGCTGCTCCTATGCCCTCATCTGCTTGCCTCCTCATCTGCTCCTTCCTTTCAGAGAGAGCACTCTAGGTGAAGTTGGAGGTATTGAGCAACTGAAGCCACCTGCCACACTTGCATTACTGCCAATCATCTTCTCACTGTTATTTGCATGCACAGCGTAAATAGGAGTGTTCTCCAAGCTATTTTAGCTCCTGCATGACCTCTCCCCTCTCAGACCACAGCAGACACCTAAGCTCCCATCCAGGCCTTTTTCCCTACTGACACGGGAGGAAGATGGGGTGTGTGGCTGCACCTCCTGTGCTGTTTAGCATGATTTTCTGGGGATAGGGGACCACAACAGTCAAAGGAGGCACTTTCTGATCCTGTGTCTCAATAGAGACAGGAACTTTCATTGCCCACACCACTTGGAATGTTCCTCCAAGGAAGCTCTTTCTCAGGCGCCATACGAATGTGGTGAGACAGGTCTTCCTGCCACCAGAGCATGTGACTCCATGGCCTGGGAGTTTGTGCAGTACAGACTTAACATACGGTGGCAGGATCATTTGGCCTTTTGCTCTCTCTTCTGCTTTCTACCCCTTTTCTCGTAAGGTTTTTCTCTGCCAGGCAAGGGCAATTGCTGTGAGCTAAGCACTCCAGTCCTCCTTGTGCACCAGAGATGTTCTTTGAATTGCTAAGGATGTTTTGGAAGGAAAGGGGCCTGACTTGGCAGTGCCTGCTTTCCTCTTTGCCTGTGCTACATCTGTCAGGATTGACAGATCTTGAAACTGTCAGATCTTTAAAACCTGCTTGGATGCAGCCCTGTGCCATGTGCTCTAGGTGACCCTGCGTGAGCAGGGGGTTGGGCTAGATGACCTCTGAGGTCCCTTCCAATCTTAAGGATTCTATGATTCTATGACACAATCTCCCATGGAGCCATACCCTCAGCCAGGGTTCTAATGCTTCAGGCACAGACTCAACTCCTAAAGAAGTCTTTACAGGCTGCTAGTGTGTCACAGGCCCATAAGCTTTGATTGCTTCGAGCCACCGCTCTTCCAGAGTCACAGTTACGGCTTGTAAGTTACAGAGCTGTACTTTTCTGTGTATATGAGCACAGAGATGGCCAGCGCCCTCTGTGCATGCCTTCCCTGCTCCATTGTCTCCAAGATGCTCACAGGCTTCCACGTTCTTTATCCACAGGCTCATCCAGCACTTCACAGAATCACAAAATGGTTAAGGTTGGAAGGGAGCTCTAGAGATCATCTAGTCTAACCCGCCTTGCTCAAGCAGGGACACCTAGAGCATGTGGCACTGGGTCACATCCAGGAAGGTTTTGAAGACTTCCAGAGAAGGAGACTCCACAACCTTCCTTGGCAGCCTGTTCAAGGGTTCTGTCACCTTCAAAATAAAGAAGTTCTTCCTCTATAGAAATGGAACTTCCTGTATTTCAGCTCATACCCATTGCCCCTTTTCCAATCACTGGCCACCACTGACAAGAGTTTTTCCCTTTACTCCCTATAAGTCATGTTTTAGGTATTTATACATATATTGATCAGATTCCCTCTCAACCTTCTCTTCTCCAGGCTAAACAGGCCCGGCTCACTTAGTCTTTTCTCAAACAAGTGATGCTCCAGTACCTTAATCATCTTTGTTGCCCTCCACTGGACGCTCTCTAGAAGCTCCACGTCCCTCTTATACTGGGGAGTCCAGGACTGCACACAATATTCCAAGTGTGGCCTGACCAGAGCTGAGTAGAGGGGCAGCAACACTCTTGACCTGCTGGCAACACTCTTCCTGA